GCATGATCGCATGGGTAAGACATACCTTTTCGACCAGCCAACTCGGTTTTGACCCAGCGCAAGGGGTGTCCGTCTTGCTGCGCTACCCAGAATGACGTGCAAGCTATCTGATGTGTGCCGTTTATGCCATCGAAGTCTATCTCGAGCTGGCGGTACAACGGGCCCAGGGTCATATCGCCCGGCCATTGCTCAAGGCGCCCCAGCAATTCGGTAGCAAGGCTCCTGAGGTCAAATGCAAGGTAGCCCATTGAGTCCAAGTGCACCAGAGCAAAGTAAGCCTGGCGCGTAAAGTGGTCTCCCTGAACCTCCAACTTTGGCCCGTTGGCCTTCTGCCAAGAGCTGTCAGCGAAGGCCAACCTCAGATCACAGATGACCGAGGCAGCGAAGCTTTTGGTGAGCACGACCAGCCCAGCTTCTTGGAGCTCCTTCAGCTTGGCGGCAACGTTTCGCACTGCCATGAAAGGTTTCAGCCTCATGACCACCCGCTGACAAATCCAGTCGCTCAGGCGGGGATGATCCTGCGGCCGAAATCCTGCCCTCCAAGCCGCGCTTATGATGTCAGGATCACTAATGAGATGGACCCACGCCATCCAACCACCTTCTGGAGGTGTAGGTTTGGCAACCAAATGGGAATGCATAGTCAGTCGCACCTCAGTTAGCGGATTGATGCTGCTCAAGGTCAACGGCATGAACTGTCCGGCACATTGCCACATGTCAGCCTCGCAGGTCGATATACAAAGCTGCGAGTCCCACTCACGTTGTAACGATCGAAGAGGGCCAGCAATGCGGGCTTGAGGACATTGCGGTGGCGCGGTAGGCAAATGTACTCTGCAAACAGCCTTGACTCAGCGCTTTCTTGCCGATCGATTGGTACCATCTGCCAACCTTCTCACTCACCATAGAAAATCTCTTGGTCGAGCGGCTGAAAAGTCATATGAGACCCGTACAACTTGGCGCCTTCGCCAATGAGAGCCAACAAGGTCGTGACAGAGAGCCCTTGGCCCCACTTTGGCACGGATGGCATCAGGCGCTCCGGCTCAGCGCCAAATCCTGCAGCTGAGCATCTTGACACAACCTCCTGCACCAAAGCTCTGGAGAGGATAGCTCCGCCATCCAGCAAGCGCCGCAGAAGCCATGGATCGAGCAGCTTTGGGCGGCAGATGGCGTTGAAGATGACGTCGTAGGGAGCTGAGCGAGCCCACAGCCAAGCAGCTCGCACATCGTGCAGCTTTCCCATAGCTAACAAGCGTTTGCATACAAGGACTATATCACTAGGGTCCTCTAGCTCAACCCATATCTGGACCAACGAGCACAATACCCATTGTGAGCATGACACTCCTAGTTGGCAGGACCATCATAGCTGGCGATATAGCTAGCTGACTCACTCACTTGCAAAAGAATGTCATGCGGCAGCCCGTCGAGCGATGGCCGCACCTCGGCATACCCCACCTGTGCCGCATCACTTGGTGCGGCATGCTCATCGATGTCCTCTTCTCTGTCAGCCAAAAGAAGTCCGCACCTCTTCACGGCTTCTGCACGGCTGGAGCGCGTTTCAGATTCCGCCGCAGCTACTCCAGAGAGTTGCGTACTGACAGTCAACGGAACCTGATCGTCCTCGTCCTCGCCCTCTTGATAGGGCTCGCAGGGGTGCACTTTCAAGTGGTGGTAGGGATGCATTTTGGGCGGTGATGAGAGTGTCTGAGACTCCAGATTGGCGTCACTGATGTGAATCCGGGCCCAGCGGATCTCTAGGCGACAGCTGACGATGCCCTCTCCAGCACGCCTGGTGTTCCTACACTGTGACTCAGTGGTTGCGTTGGCGTACAGCAGCTCAGGACCGTAGGCTACAACGAGTCGCCGTGAGCCGTTCGGGGAATCTGGCGAGCTCAGCTCATGCGTGGCATGCTGGACGTAGGAGTCGTGGTGGAGCACACAGAACCCTAGAAAGAAACGCTTCTTTCAAATCTTTAGCGGGGTATTTGGCCTGTGTGGTCCGTGCGTGCAGTGCGCATCCACACTTCGCGCCTCACGCGATTCACATCCAGATCCAGATTAGGATCGTAAGTGACATTTCACAGAGAAAAAGTACACGAGAGCATGTTCAAGCCAATAAATGCAGATCGACGGACAAGGCACCAGTATGCCATCCAGCCATGGCAATATCAAAGACGAAGAATTTCCTCTCCTTTTCCTCTTTCAGTCCATGATGACCTTCCTCGCTCGCATCCTCGACATCCGTCTCTTCAAATCGCGCAAAAGTCGGCGTGTCCTGCGTTGCGCTAGTCACGTTTCGAAGTCTGCATCTCTGTTGCAGACGTTGCAATTTCGATGGGCGCGAGGCGGAGTTGGACGACGGATTTTGAGAAGCAGCAGGATCAGGCGCACTTGCTCGAGGCAATGGAGGCGCACGACCTCTTGCGCCTGCCAAGCCTATCCTAAACCCTATTCCAGGTCCTCTGTTCCTCAATCCCCGTCCAAACTGTACCTCACCTGCCGCCTCTCCCTCTCCCGCTTCAAAGGGTAGATTTCTCCCTTCCACGAGCGGATACTCATCATACGTTCCCCGAGCACCTTTGCTCCACTGACCCCACGTTCTCACTCTACCCGTCTCGTCCAACGCTCCGAAGTGATAGTCTCCACAAGTGACCTTGATGATGCCTTGTCCCTGCAATTCCGGCTTGAGCTGAGGTAAGGTTGCAGAGGTAGCATCGTATCTTCCTTGCAGGACTATGCCACGCTTAGCAGACGAAGACGGCTCGCCATATAAGAGACCAGAGCCGGAAGAATCGACGCTGTATGCCACGAAACTTCTGAAAGCTGCACTCAAATGGGTGATGCGTGTGTCGTCGGAAAGGAGATGTCTTGTATGCGGCAAGTCCCAAACGTTCCCCGAGCCTTCGCCCGCCTTTCTGATCATCTCAGGATCGCAAAATCCTCTCAGCAATTGCCACCCTCTCCTCCGAGAGGCGTATTCCCCGATGTACCGACCCCGAAGGCTCTCCAAACGCTCTTCAGCATCCGAATGCATCGAACCAGCAGCGCTCCCGTCGCTGTCATCGCTGTCCATTTCCGCCTCCTGGTGATACAGTGGGGTCCTAGGCTCCTCCACGTCCAGCTTGTAGACCAAACCGCGCTGAGAAAGCGCATATACCACATTTTCTCCTGCGGCGATTTGAACCGGATGTTCCGGGTCCAACAAAAACGCCGTGCTGCCGAGCTGCGCGCGCTCGTGAGGCAAGAGCAATTCTGCGGGCGGCTCAGTAGGCAATGCCGGTAGCCTAAAGGATCTGCTGGATTTGACGAGCAGTGAAGTGTCGTCTGCTGGATCGTGCTCGGCGTGAAACTCTTGCAAGTCTGTCTCGTGCAAGTCGGTCCAGTTGTTCAGCCACATGTAGATTCTTGGGGGATGTTGACCATCTGAATCTCTGCTGTGTGGAGCCCTTGAATCACGCTGCGTGTCTCTGACTGTCTCCGAGCCGGTCAGAAGTACAGTGTGCCCACCGCCGCTGACGACCTGTTTGATGTGCGCTGGTTGATCTAAGTCGAACACATCGTCCAAGCGAGTCGGGTATTTTGGGTCATGCCAGACGACGCACTCGTTCTGTGTCGTAACGGCGACGAGCGCTGTGCCTGCTGCCAATAGCCTGGCTTGTCTCCGCTTACGTGTCCCATTCGTGTTGGTAGGATCGTAGCCCAAGTCCAGCACGGTAGGAGTCGTCACTGGCCTCGCTGGCATGTCCATCGTGCGGATGGTGCCCCAAAGCAGCACATTGCCCGTGCTCGTGAGAGCTGCGAAGCTCCAACCCGCCGCATGTAGCTCTACGGGTGCACCTAGAGAGACTGAAGCCTCGCTCAGCAGCTCAAACTTGGGATTCGGACCCAGATAGCTATCCAATGCTCGTGGATCCTGCTCGCTGTGGTATGCCTTTGCCAGGCAAGCGTCTCTCCATCTCGTCTGTAGAGGGAAGGGCGCGCCGCCTTCGTAGTTGATCAGTCGACTGAGCTTAGAAGGTACACCGTTCCTTACTCCGCCGTACAGCTCTCTGCCGACTCCCAGCCTCCCATCCGAATCCTCTCCACACGTCCAAATTTCTGGCCGAGTCAAACCAATGTACAACGATTTCCATCCATTGACTCGAGCAGTGGCGAAGCGTGGAAAACTAAAGTCGCGCAAGAGTAGCCTATGCCAGAGAGCTTGGTCGTTCGTGAGCCTATGTAGCGATTTGTTGACAAGCCCGAGTCGATTCAGGTCGGCTTCTTCCAGATGAGGCAGGACCCCGTCCACTATCACCTCTTCCGGAAGGTCCAACAAGACAGCCTGGCCTGCGCTGGACATGGTCGCTACAAATGTTTTGAGCTACGATATGATCAAGGCGCAACGAGGGATGTCACTGAACGGCGCTCTGTTGCTTGCTGGTGAGTTGTGAAGTGGCATGTACTGTATGCACGCCAGGATGCTCGTCGAAGGGAGGATTGATTCTGGTTAATTTACGCCTGGCTCGACCGTATGCATGGATGAGCGGTCTGCACCGCCACGGCTCAGCATGAATCCGCGGCGTGCGCGGCTCAGCGCTGATCGCGCGAGAACCTCTCGCACGAGAAGCTCACCTTTTTGGGCGTGCAAACCACCAAAGGCTTGAAGCTGAGTCATGTACAAGCATTCAGAGTAGGAATCACCTTGACAGCCCCGCTTCTTGATTAAAGCTCCACGTAGCCAGTACACTATTAAAGCAGCAAACAGACAACGTCGATGCCTAGAGGATTCACGGTTCCTTCCGCTCCATCTGCCTCTTCTGACAAACTTGGCAGGCAGCTTGGCGCTGCGTAATGAAAGCGCTGCGTCGCTATCGTCTCTTGCCGCTCATCCATGCGCGACCACCGCCTCCACTTCGATCATCAGGCATTCCCTGCTCAATCCCAACCCCTCGCTGCTGCGCACAACCTCGCAAGATGTCCAACGAGGCAGGGTCCGAAGATCTCTCGCGCTATCCGCAGCCCAGCGCATCACAGTCATTCGAAGTGGTATCCAAACTCGAATCTGTGCGATCACGCATAGCCTCTTCGAGTCAGACGCACGCAAGACGTCCTCCTCGTCTAGTCGCCATTTCCAAGCTGCATCCTCCTTCCAGCATTCTAGCAGCATATCGAGATGCCGAGCCTCGACAGTTGCATTTTGGCGAGAACTACGCGCAGGAGTTGAGGGATAAAGCCAAGGTACTGCCCAGGGGAATCAGGTGGCACTTTGTTGGGAATTTGCAATCGAGCAAGGCAAAGATGCTCGCCGGTGAGTTCTGCGTGGGCAGCTTGTGCAAGCGAGAAGAGTAGTAGGAGATGATCTGGGACGGAAACAGCCTGCGAGCTGAGATCAGTTCCCTGCCTCTTGGCCGTAGCCATCCCGAACCTATACCTGCTGGAGACGCTCGACTCTGAAAAGACCGCTACCTTACTGGACAAGGCGCTATCCAATCGAACCCCTACCGGATCGCAGTCCGAGTCCACCAGCGAGCCACTGCGAGTCTATTTGCAGGTGAACACATCGGGCGAACTGAACAAGTCGGGTCTACCGCCCCTCGACCTTCAAGGATCCGACACTGCCAAGCAATCTCCGCTCCTATCTCTAGCAAAGCACGTCATTCTCCATTGCCCGAATTTGACGCTTTCAGGTCTCATGACGATCGGATCGCGGTCCGCTTCGGATTCGCACGACTCGGAAGCGGAGAATCAGGACTTTGCAACACTTCGGGCCACGCGAACCGCGCTGATCGGTCATTTGCGCTCAGATTCCGAGCTGAGTTCAAACAAAGACGCATCACGAAAGTACAGTGCTCTCCTCTCCTCCTCGGACTCCGTTGAGGAAGCTCAACGAGCACTAGAGCTGAGCATGGGCATGTCTGGAGATCTGGACGCTGCTATCAGATCGGGAAGCGATAATGTGAGGGTAGGAACGGACTGTTTTGGACAGAGGATGAGCGATAGGGATAAGGCTTATGAGGCTATGAAGCAGGAGATGGAGTGGGATGTGGAGAATGGTAGACCTGGTCAGGTGAATGGCGAGAATAGATAGATGACGCGTTGCGTGTATGCGTGGCATGGACAGTTGTGAGCCAAGGAATTGTGCATCAGACGTTGGCAAATTCGCGATTTGGACTTCTGCACGATATCGTCCTGTACGAGAAGCGGGCAGACGGATCTTCACAAGCAACGATGCTTTCATATTGAACATCAACGAGGGCCCAATGACCGTGGTTGTGCATACACACTAGTACTCGGAAAGATCACTACCGCCTTGTGACGTGATCAGACGATC